TCCTTTGAGGGTCTGTTCTTCAAGGGTCACATGGGCTTGGGAGGAGCCCCTGACTCCTTTCTTTAACCAGTTCCATCTAGGTGAAGATAAGTCAAAGGTCCTGCTTGACTGTGGCTGGCTTCATATAAAGGAAAACCCATCAGATTTACAGCTGACTTTTCAGTGCAAACTATGAAAGCCAGAAGAGCCTGGACCAAAGTATATGCACTTCTAAATGATCGCAGATGCCAACTCAAGATTACTTTACCCAGCCAAAATGTCTACTGAGAGTCTTTATGATACAAAGTATGGAAAATGGTAATTTAATAACTACTTAGAGAAAAGTTTAAAGATAATATTGAAAATAGGGCTAACTGTAATAAACTGAGCAGGAAAAGACCATGAAAAAAATGCACATTCAATTTTATATATGCCTAAAACAAAACAGCATACAAAGTAGTTCACTTCATGGAAGGTCATAATGACTGAGAAATAACCAGACTAACGAATTTCTAAGGCAGATTTGAAGAGATGTATAAAAATTCTGGAATGGAAGGAAAGAAACAAAGGGAAGAAAAGACTAGAGAATCAAACTGTAGGAATCAGTGGTGAACAAATCAATTTATAATAAAGTCATTTAGAACAGAGCAAGGAACGGATATCATCCACAAATCTCAAATACACAGGTTATGTTGACTGTTAAAAAATATTGCTGCCTTCCCATTCTAGGACATTTCCAGGTTGTCAACAAAAAGGTAAATGAGAGTCTCTGCCTTCAAATGAATTTTCTAATCTACTCAAGGTGCCTCAATTAGGAAATGTGAACATGTCAGCAGTTCACTGCACTCTAGAATGATGGATGTGAACCTAGGTACCTGACAGGTAAGAATATGGACAACCACTTTAGAGTGAGGCAATCAAGAAAGCCTCCAAGATAAGTCAATACTGACTGAGCACAGCATGGGTGACTAGCCGCCTAAGCAGTGTTAGGATATTAAGAGAAGTGTGAAAAAAAGAGAAGCATGCAAAGGGACATATGAGGAGACAGCTGAAGAGAGGTTTCTTTGCTGATGACTGAGTGGGGAAGGTGTTAGAGGGAAAGCAGTGAGAGGAAAAGGGAGAGGGAGACCAAAAAACCTTTCCCAAAGCCTAAACCTTATGGTTTTTAGACTTTAATTTCAAAACCAATATTCATGGGAACATTTCTAGCAAAAGTTTGAAATGATTAGTTCTACTTACTACATAGCTCACTAATCTAGAAGCACAAAGGGATAAATCGGCTGTTATTGAAGACAGAGACAACAATAAAAAGGTTGTTACAATAAACCAGGGAGGAATTTGAACTTCAACTTGAACAAGAAAACTTGGAAAGTATATACAGAAAAGAGAGGACACCAAAGAGGACTCAAAGATAAATAAGCCACTAATTTGTCTGAAAGCCTATCAAAAAATCTCCAGTTGCTACAAGACCCACTTTGAAAAATAACAGCCATATAGTTTAAATAATTGTGCCAGTTATTTTTTGTTGACTTGACTAAACTAGAGATACCTAGGAGGAGGGACCATCAATTGAAGAACTGCCTCCAACAGATTGGCCTGTGGTTGTATCTGTAAGGCATTTTCTTAACTGCTAATTGATGGAAAAGGGTCCAGCCCACTGTGGGTGGTGCCATCTCTGGGTAAGTGGGCCTAGACAGTGTAAGAAAGGTTACTGGGCAAGCCAGGAGGGGCAAGCCAGTAAGCAGCTTCCCTCCTTGGTTTCTGCTTCAGTTCCTGCCTCCAGCTTCCTGCTACTGCTTCCCTCCCTTAGTGATGAACTGTGACCTGTAAAATGATTTAAACCCTTTCCTCCCCAAATTGGTTTTAGTCTGTGTTTTATCACAGCAATAGCAGCAAAATAGAACACAAGGTCCTTCCCTCTTGTCTGTGCTCCCCTCCTTGTCACTCCTACTCTTCCTTCCTCTCCCTCCTGAACTACTGTGTTGCCCTCCTGCCCTTTATTAGCTCCTTTCCAGGCAATTATGCATTTCCTAAGTAAGGAAATGTGCCAGACTTTGAAAATGTTTCTGGATTAATTCTATGGTTTACTATTTTTTGGATTATAAAGGCTATTCCAGAGTATAAAAATTTGGTCTGATAGTGTCACATTTTGCAAAAGTTAGTCAGATCCATTTGTCATCCATAATGTCAGGTATGTTTTCTTGCATATTTCTATTATCTCTTGATCAACAGATTAAGAAAGCTAAGGCAGAACTTAAGTTTTAAAATATTAAGTGGACTTGCACATAAATTAACACACACAGCCATGGTTGGGATTTTCTACTCCCCTTGTCATGCTCCATTTTCTGTTAGTCGGCCACTTGGGTTTCAGAACAGACAGAGCTTGCTCCCTGCTAGGTTGGGTCCTGGGCAGAGTAGGCTCTACTATGATCTCAGAGTTTCAGAAGTGCAGAAATCAAGCATTGGGCATACAGTTGTGAAACTTGATTTCTAATCTCTGTTTTCATAAGGTCTGAATCCTGATGACTGTATTCAGGAGTTTTATAAAGTTGTAGAAATAATAGTTTATTGTCTATTTTAATTAATTCTCAATGTTTTGTTACTGTTGATTCTGTTCTTTTTGGAAAATAAATCATAATATCAGTCTTTAAACAAAAAGCCATTCTATACAAATTATAACAACTACATATGGGTCTGTTTTTCAAAAGAATGGTATGTTCAAGTTTAAAGTCACTATTTAGGTTAGGAAATTGTTTCACTTGGCATCACTGTGTAGTGAGAAATTGAGAGTAATTCATCAAGATGAGAACCAGGTTATGCAAAATACAAAGTGGTATTGTAGCATAATGAAGTAAGAGAGTTTAACCATTGAGAAGTTACCATATCCATACATTGTTACTCTTTAAAAACCATAGAATTACAAGATAAAAACCCAAGGAGAATATGAAGATAGTTTTTCTAGTGACAAAGGTATCACTCATTTGGATAACTCCAGAAATAGGCATCAATTCTAGAAGCAGCCTGAAATTTTATTTTCATCCTAAAAATAAAAATATTAAAAGACAATTTACAAAGCTTCCTAAAGTCAGTGAAAAGAGAAGACAGTAGGAAACGAATTTGGGAGACTGAGAGAGGAATCTGTATTTTAAGGCTCCCATTGGACAGGATCCTGACTTCAGTCATGTAGAAGCTGAACAGAAAGTTCTGCCTATTGCTGACTATTGTTATAAACAGAGGGAAAAATGAATTAAAATTCACAATTCACTGTGGTGTAAGGTCTAGGTAAAATAATCTTGAGTTGGGAATCTTGAAATCATGAGCAAATTTTCTGTTTCATGGGGACCTTGTAACAAGTTATTTTATAACAAACCAGAAATTTCAGTTTTCAAAAAGAATTTCCATGAGCAAATTTGTTCTCTAAAATTTGTTAAGAGAAATAATATTTTGAAAGTTACCAATGTTTGCTCTGGCTCAAAGTGCTAATATATAAGCTGCAAAGCCTACAGCTCTTACTCCTGGAACTCATCAAACCCTTTCTGCCTTTTACCAGCTAAGTGTTTTTTTTAAGTATACTTTCAGCTACTGTGGCTCACATGAGGATAAAACTTTTAATTCCTCACTTATGAATGGTTATAGCTATGTTATGAGTAGCTAGGTTTGTAGACCAAGAAATGTACATGCGTTAATGGGATTTTCTCCTTCATGTCAAAAACTCCATTTTAATACAAGAAGTGAAAAACAGAATCTGATACTTTTTGAAGTCAAACAGGAGTGGTGGTATATATCTAAGATCCTAGCACTTAAGAGGTGGAGTGAGGAGGACCTCATGTTTCAGGCTAACCTAAGCTACACAGTGAGACCCTTTTCACAAAGCAAAGGACAATATATTTTTGAAACCAAAATGCTATATGTCTATTAAAATATGCATTGATCTATGAAAGTAAAGTATAGTCTAGTTATGGTGGTAGCTATAGATAAACCCAGTACTTCATAATCTAAAGGGGAAAAAAAAGAAAATTATAAAAAGTAATGCTCTGATTCACTAGTGTGAAAGCACTGAACAATTAAAACCATGCCCCACATCAGTCTAATTTCACTGATGGAATATACATATACTTCTCAACAGTATTTTAAAAATAATCAATGTCGAAGCTATTTGTCTACCTCCTTACCTCTTGGTCAATAGATTGCTTACTTTACACTAATAGGAAGTTGCAAAGCTACTGAAGAAGCCATCAGGCTCACTTGAGGGGTCGCACAAAGTTTCCTGAGTTTTATATAAACTGTATTGACTTCACATATTTAGTTCCTATTACTTATCACGCTGATCGACATACATATCTAGGTAAAAAGCATTTATGAAAAGCATCTTCACCTGGTTACTCTATGATGACCTTGTCATAGTTGGTTTAAACTTAAAGCTGCTTTATACAATAATATAAAGCACATAGAGGTTGCTGTGCTGGGGGCTTCCTACATCTCAGTTTCCTATCTTAACCAGATTTCATGCATTCTATCACATATGTTAAGGCCTAATGAGTCAAGTTAGTATACCCAGATAACCCCTCAGTGCCTTTTTAAAATGTAAATATTCCCTTGTAACTTTTATTTTTATATGAATTATGTGTGCATTAAATTACAAGAAGTTACAGGCACAAAGTATTTTATATGCCTCTGCTTTTCAGAACTAACTCAATGAATTGTCATAGTAAAATATATTGCTCTAATCTTTCACTTTAATAACAAAAACATTATATTCCATTGTTAACACATTTGGTGACTAAAGCAAGGAAAATTGTCAGTCTAAACACTTATCAAGGTTTAGGGACACAGCTGAGTAGTAAAATGCTTAATTAGCATGCACAAGGCCCTGGCTCTATCCTCAGCATTGAAGGGAAAATAAACCAAACTTTATAAACAATGCCAAATATTTCTCAAAATACTCAAGTAAAATCTATACTGTATAGAACTAGGCCACTTTTGAAAGATGGATCCAAACTAGTAACACAATTTTCACTTACTTGTCTCCAAAAAACTTTCTCCAGAATTCAGCAGCATCTGCTTTTGTGATCCGGAAGTTATCTCCCTGGAACTGACCACTGGGAAATATTGCTTTGATTTCTGCGAGCATGTGACTGAAGATAAGGGACAGTTTCGTCAGATTTCGTCTGTCAGATACAAGGGGAAAACACAAGAGGTAAATATATAGGCAAGGAACCTTTAATGAGCCTCGGTATTAAGACAAATAATATTCTGGGTATAAAGCTGAGTCTGGGATATTAATCATGATCCTAATAATAGGTTGAATTCAATCTAATAATCACTAAAATAATGTGCATTACACACCTAAATTCCTACTAGGGTTTCACTTTATCATGTATCCATGTATTAATTTAACATTAACATGAAAATGAAAAATTATACAATTTCATTAAGCTCACAGTTTAATGAGAATGATAAATGCACAAAACACAATCAAATATAAAGGCTACACACAAATGATAGAGTACTATTTCTACCTGGGAAAGTAAGGAAAAAATCACCAATAGAGGAGACCCCAAGAAGATCAGTACTTGTGTGGCACAGGAGAATCCTGAGATAGAGAGAAGAGGATGGAGGGAGAAAAGGAAAAGGTACTGTGCACATGAAAAGCAGCAATTTTAACACTGTTTCCTAGCATTGTGATTTTTATTTACTAATCATTGGTGTCTGGTAGGGGCATTTCCCCTCGTTATAAGGTAAATATATGTATGTATGAACACACACAGTAGGAGGCTTCCATATGATTTTTATAGGCCTTCAGTATTAGATATCCCTCCTATACTCCCAATACCCTACTCTCCCAACCTACACTCCATTCAACATTTCCTATTCCATTATTGCCCGTTGTTCATATCACTGCATTGTATGTGCTCTCCCTTGAAGTGCTCCCCCCACCATTGGTACAAATGTGTTTTGAATGATATAGGAGTAAACAACTTTCTCCACTTTCTAATTGAATTTAAGGTCCAATTTGCAAGATGGAACACAGACCTGGTCCTATTATTGGGGCCAAGAGCCTGTAACTATAGAGGCCACACCCAATAGAAGAAAAGCTATGACTTATTCTGCTAATAGATGCAAAATTATATTGATTCCTAAAGACATCATTCTACCCATAGATTAATAGATCTCCCAGCTATCCATCAGAGAAGCTTCTTATTGCAGCAGATGACAATTAACACAGAAACACACAACTGGTCATTATGCAGAAAGTAAGAGACTGTGGAGTGCTCGGTCCTAAATGTGACACGTGTATCAGATTCCTTCCCCAAAAGGCTCAGGGAACATCAGGGAAGAAGAGGTGGAAAGACTACAAGAGATAGAGATAGTGGATGAATACAACAAAAGTGTTTCCTGAACACAACGGGACAGTTGCACATGTAACCATGTAGGATATTACAAATGTACAACACCTGCAAAAGCCTAAGCCTAACAAAACCCCAGCATGGAGGGGAGAGGAGGGTGAAAGGGTCCAGTCTTAGCTGAAGAGCTATTGGCAATTGATAGCTGCTAAGAGAAGGAGAGTCGTTTTTTTTAAGGGTGAGACAGAGGGTAGATTGAATTGACCAGACTCCAAAGGATGGGCTCATACTCAATAACATTTGAGGAACATAAAATAGAATCAGTAGGCCTTAAAGATATATGGAGAGAAGGGACTGAGGGACTAGGGAGGCAGAGGTGGATCTGAAAAGAAATAGATTTTCAATATGATCAAAATACATTGCACGAAATTCACAGAGAATCAATAAAAGTATTGGTGTGTGTGTGTTTGTGTGTGTGTGTGTGTGTGTGTGTGTGTGAGAGAGAGAGAGAGAGAGAGAGAGAGAGAGAGAGAGTATGTGTTTTCCCTGTATGTATGTAAGTGCAATACGTGCATGCAATGCCCACGGAGGCTAAAAGAGGGGACTAGACCCACAGAAACTAAAGATACTGATGGGTATTAGTTGTAATATGGGTGCTAAAACTGAACCCAGGACCTCTGAAGGACCTCTGATGCTCTTAAACTCTGAGCTATCTCTCCAGCTCGCAAAATAGAAGTAAAACTGTAAGGAATGGGGAGCCATAATGAATTGATAATTTGAACAGTATGATGAAATCTGTTTCTGAAGAGTAAAATTACAACAGGATGAAAAAAGAATACTAAGTAAAGTAACGCAGACTCAGAAAAGTAAGCAATGTATGTTCTCCCTCATTTGAGGATCACAGCACCAATCCCTTATATGTGAATATATATCCTGATTTAACAGCAGGAGCCAGGAAAACAGAAAAGAAACACAGAGGTAAAGGAAACGATAGAGCCTGAAAGAGGGGGATAGTAGGGAAAAGAGGTTACCAAGGGTGAATGGGGAAAATGGAGATATTCAACTGGGAAAGGAGAAGGGAAAGACACTGAGGAACCTTGGGGTGAAAAGGGAAGAAGGAACTCAAGAGAGGGAGGAGTAACAGGAGACAGGTATTATAAAGGGGGAAATGTGAAAAATGGGGCATTCAAACTGGGCTGGGAGGAGGAAGGTTAGACAGGGAGAGAGATAAATAAAGTTTAGACAGCATAAAAAACCAGAGGGTAATGTATTAACTCAACCCCCCTGAATACAATATCTGAATATTAGTGCATATGTATACTTGAAGGCTATATAACAAGAAATACAGTGCCAGACAGGAGAAACCTCCCTTCGAGCTGTTGGTCAGTAAAGTCCAAGATACTCCCAAAATAACATAGGGTGTTGCCACAGTCCTTGATTACCTCCCAGAACTTGCTGAAGACAGGACATGTTTCAGACACAGGACTTGGAGCAATAGAGTTGGAACTGACCTAAAGAATCCTCTCTGAAGACTAGCTCTCACAGTTCTAAGGACAGAAGTTCTATGCAAGCTGCTAAAGAAGAAAACTCAATCAATGGTCCAGCCCAGCTCTAAAGCTTAATAACCACCCATGACAACTGGCACAGTAAACTACCTCTATTGGTGCATTAGTGGCACAGTTATCTAGAGGATAACCAACAGCTATCTAACTGAACTTAACACCCTGTCAATTGGAGGGAACTCATGGGTGGTACTGTAAATTCAGCCAAATACACATGGCTGGAGAGTTCACAGATTCTAGAGAAAACCCTACCTCTGTCATATCTCTAGGCAAGTGAAATTTCTTACCACATGCTAAATATGAATCCTTATGTTTATGGAAAAATGTACTGTACACCACTAATCAAAAAAGCTTCCTTTTGCAACAGGTGGAGGCTATCACAGCATTTTACAACTGTCACACATAGGGAATATATGTCTGAGGGATGCCCCAGCCCTAGTGCATGCCCATGGATAGGACACCTATAGTAAACCTCATCTACCCACGACTCAGAGACCATTGTGGAAGAGGGAGCAGAAAGATTGTAAGAGCCAGGATTGGAGCATGAATATAAGGAAAGAGAGGCTTTCAGGCCACTAGGAACTGGTTCATATGAACTTGCAGCAATGCTAAAGACCCATGTTGACTCAATCAGACAAAAACCCAGCACAGAATAGGATAAATGGGCAGCGGGCTCCAACCCTAGCCAAGAAACTTGGAAAATGATTACTGTGGGGTGAGAGGGAGCAGATTACTCACCCTTAAGGGGGTGACTCTAAATAGACTGAATAGGCTGAAGTTGGATGAACTTGTACTGAGAGACACCTGGATAGAAATACTTGACCAGACAGGACTTAATATATATGACAGAATACCTAAAATCTGTAGGTTGGGGGTGGGGGAAGGCATGAGGAGGGGAAACAGAGTCTAAATTTGATTAAGATGTATTATATGAAATGCATAAAAACTTAATAAAATATTTAAAATTTATGAAGAAAGGAAGTAAATGAAGTTATCACCTCTATGCTTCATTTCCATGTTTCTGGCAATTTCCACTCAATTTAAAATGTTTCATAGTGGAAGAATAACAGTGTCACCTGCAGTTTGTCTATTTCTTAAGGTTAAAATATAAGCTATGTTGATACACTCCAAACTGCCAGTACTAGATAATGAAGAAGTAACAGAAACTTTGTCCAAGTTTTTCTCTGTATCTGTAATTTATGACTCAAATAACAATGGGGGGGGTGACGATAGACATTCTTGGCACAAATGATCATTTTAATATGTACCTGTTATAAAGTCAGTGGATGTCACTCGTGTGAAAACATTTTTAAAGGACTCATAAGATAAATACAGAATAATGAAGCTATCCAAAAGTAGGTAGAATGAGAATAAAGTAGAAGCAATACAGTATAACTTCTGTCATCACAATAATTTCTGTTCGTCATACAAGCAAAATGCCAATTACTTTTACAATGCTCATTATCTATGAAATTTCTTTCTAAGGGAGAAGTCAGCAATCTGCAAATCCACTATGCTCATATGTAGAGTACTTTTCATTTTCTCAAAGCCCCCACATTTGTGCTCAACGGAACCTGATCCAAGTACGAATCTGCTAATCATCTGATTCTCTGAGATTTACTTTGTTGTCTCATTTCCATCCATCCATTTGGATGAAGATGGTAGTGGGCGTTATGACGTTCAGTTCTGGGAGATGAAAAGTAAACTGTTCTGCTCTATCGAAGCAAAAGTAGTATGTTCAATCTAAACCACAAAAGACCTCAAAGATACTTTCGACATTGAGATTTTTAGTTGAAAGTATTTGGGAGCTTTTATCTAATCCTTAAGAGATTTTAGGGTTTGCCTCCAGAGGGGGCAATGTTAAGAGTAGCCAAAAGCCCCATTAAAAAAAAGAAGAAAGAGTACATGAAGTTATCAGAAAAAAGTGATGGGGAGATATGGGAGGGGAGGGAGTGGGCATGGATTTGATCAAAACATCTTATATGCATGTATGAAATTCTCAATAAATTATTTTTTAAAAAGACCTCAAAGATTTGTGCTTAAGGAAAGCATAAAATTACGTTAGAAAATCTGCAATGAAATACTTCCAATAATTAGGTTAGAGGTTATTGACACAAGAAAGAAAAAAAGAAAAATCAAGATGGTTATAATTAAAATAAAGCAAGTGTTACTTATTTTCTCAAATGGTTGCTTTCCATCCCCTTGATTCCTTGATCTTTAATAATTTTCAAATGATTTTCATTTTTCCTTGCTGCATAAAGG